ATCACTAGTAAACAAAATGTATAAGAGTGGCCTCAGGATTCTTCCTTGGGGTACACCTGTTTTTATTGGCAGGAACTTGGTATATGATTATCCCTGCTTTATTCTGAAGTAGCGGTTATTCAGGTAAGAGGCAAGTAGTTCAATTAGAAGTAAGCCATGTATGTCATACTCTATTGAGCGTCAAGGAAAACAGCTGTGCAATTGTGCTTTTTTTTCATCGCATCTTSAAATTATGCTCGTTAAGCGATGAGCTTGATCGATTGTGGAATGTTGTGATCTAAATCTAAATTAATGAATTGGTATATGGTCCTTTTCTTCAATTATGCACAGAAGTCTTCTTATAATTACAACTTGAAGTAGTTTGGACAAAATAGGCAACAGTAAGATTGGACGATATGACGAGGCTTCTCAATATCGCCGAATTTAAGTCCAATCCATTTTCCATGGTAATGAACTTCTTGGATATTTGTCGAGTGATGAAAGGTTCGATCAAGTCAGGTCGCTTCCAGTGGCCATAACAGCTTTAAATAACCCTCTCCCTTTCGGTGTCGTAACTCTTGAACCCCATTTGGAGTGTTTCGAGTTAAAATCACCACTCATGATGAATTTCTTATGATGTTTTAAGATAAGTTCTGTGTACAAGTCTATTTTATRCATACTTATTTTTCTGAAACTAGACTCAACCGATATGCTCGTGGCTTGGAATTATTTGGACACTTATATTAATTTCTTCATAATGGATAATATTACCTCTGTGGTTACGTTAAGTAAAAGAAACTGCCTTAACGACTGTGCAGCTGATAACCACTTTAGAAGTGCGGATTAGAATTTTAGCGCGAAAATTATTGTGTTTTTTAATTTTATATTATTGTTTGTTATTGTTTAAAATTTCCAAATGTTTATGTGATAAATTGTTTATGTTTTAAAATATTGTTGTAAATAAATTCGAGCATATTGATATATGTACCTCGTGGCGCCAACAATGTTAAGGTCCTCCTGCTTACGAATTTYCAAAATAGGAAATATTCAAAATCCTCATTGGCCAGCTATTGGATAAGATTGGTCATATTTGTTTGCCTTTATATTACCTTTTTCAGATGGAACTATAGATATCGAATGCAGTAATTCAAAATAATTCTTCAACATTCCATCGAAAGGCATACTAAAATTAGAAGTAGGATGTAAAGAAAATTTTCTTGCACCTCCACCACAATATCACACACAATAGTTGATTGAAGCATCTTTAAATCCACTATGATGGAAGTAAATGAAGTACYTACACAAGTAATTTCGCAATCAAAAACGTTAACTATAGGGGTTTTCAATAGGGAGCTACAAAAGTAAGTAAATAAAACAAAAACGGTTTCATTCGTACTCCAAAAGTCACCATTGTATCCTGAAAAATCACGGTTTGGTGCGCTTACAGTCCGGCGGTGTCATTGGGCCGAACTTCTTCGGTGATGATTAAGACCGATACGTTATGTGAATGGGAATCGCTACCGCTCAATGATACCCAAATATTTTTTGCCCGAATTTGATTATATGAACTTGGACAATATGTGGTTTTCAACAGAACAGCGCCACGCAGCGAATGACCCATCGATTTATTGAAACCCAAGATTGTGTGTTATCTCATGAAATAGCCCAGTCAATTGGCCATCTCAGTCGTGCGAGTGGAGGCCGTTCGACTATTTTCTGTGGGGCTACATCAAGTTTACGGTCAGTGCCCTCGACGATGAACTTCATATCGAACGTGAAATTGCAATAGTATCTGCCGATTTATGCTTGAAAACCACTTTTCTCAATTTTTAAAAAAATTTTAAATTTTACACTTATTTTTTGATTTTTCTTAGTTTAGCTAGAAGATAAATTATTAAAAAATATGAATCTCTTTGAATTTTTTGTTTCCGATAGAAATTGCGTCCTACATCCTGCCCGCCGTCCGAAAAATGGACTTGCGAGATGCATGGGGYAWTTGCTTCCCAAAGGCAGAATATCAAAGATTTCGTATCCAAAAAATTTGTAAAAAATGTTCAAATATATGTATAACTATAAGACCCAGAAATTTCGTTTGAATCAATTATTTCTTTCCCTTCCAAAAAAATCGATTTTTTTAAGCCACAATGGCAAGCGTTAACATTTTTCTTCCGAGAGAAATGAGATTTTGTGCGCACACAACGCCATACACGACACACATGTGCGCACACCGATCGTAAAAAATCAAGCATTTTCGCGAACATGGATCGGTACGCGCACAAGCCCTTACAGGAGTAAACCGCATGCGCACATATACCGATCGAACACACATGTGTGTCATGTATGCCCACTTTTAACAAGATAGTACCAGATGGCAGAATATTTGTACATCGTCTTAAGTGCCAAAAATATAATTCTAGGTACACTCTTAACACAATAAGCATGGTGGCGGAAATATTATGGTTTGTGGAGACTTTCTTGGCATTATGTAGATCTTTTCCTAAGATTTAATGGAAAACGGGACAAGTTAAAGTCCTTGCACATTTTAAAAAACCATATGGAACCATATGCTTTTGAGTCTATGCCAATTGAATGGATATTTATGCAAGACAACGATTTCAAACACGCCTCGAAGCTAGTTAAAAATTGGTTTTCTGCAGAAAGGATAGATATTTTGGAATGGATAGCGCAAAGCCATGACTTAAATCCAATTGAAAACTATGCAATGAAGTCAAGACTGAAATTGCAAAGGTTAATTATAAAAATGTGGACGATTTCTGGCCTGCCGTTATAGACCTGACAGACGACAGCGCTAATATGCATTCTTCTTCTTCTTAATTGGCGTAGATACCGCTTACGCGATTATAGGCGAGTTAACAACAGCGCGCCAGTCTTTTCTTCTTTTCGCTACGTGGCGCCAATTGGACATTCCAAGCGTAGTCAGGTCCTTCTCCACCTGGTCCTTTCAACGGAGTGGAGGTCTTCCTCTTCCTCTGCTTCCCCCGGCGGGTACACCGTCGAATACTTTGAGAGCTGGAGTGTTTCGAACATTCGGACAACATCATCTCGCCTGTGCAGCCGCTGTCTTTTAATTCGCTGAACTAGGTCAATGTCGTACGTGGCCAACGCGAAAAGGACCATAAATCTTTAGCAGAACTTTYCTCTCGAAAACTCGCAACGTCGACTCATCAGTTGTTGTCATCGTCCAAGCCTCTGCACCATATAGCAGGACGGGTATTATGAGTAACTTATAGGGTTTGGTTTTTGTTTGTCGGGAGAGGACTTTGCTTCTCAATTGCCTACTCTGTCCGAAGTAGCACCTGTTGGGAAGAGTTATCCTACGTTGGATTTCCAGGTTGGCACTGTTGGTGGTGTTTACGCTGGTTCCAAGATAGACGAAATTATCTACGACTTCAAAGTTATGACTGTCAAAAGTGACGTAAGAGCCTAGTCGCGAGTGCGACGACTGTTGGTTTGATGACAGGAGATATTTCGTCTTGCCCTCGTTCACTGCCAATCCCATTTGTGTTGCTTCCTTGTCCAGTCTGGAGAAAGCAGAACTAACGGCGCGGGTGTTGAGGCCGATATACGCCAGCAGCTGTACACTCTTATAGAAGATTGTACCTTCTCTATTTAGTTCTGCAGCTCTAATTATTTTCTCCAGAAGCAAGTTGAAGAAATCGCACGATAGGGAGTCGCCTTGTCTGAAACCTCGTTTGGTATCGAACGGCTCGGAGATGTCCTTCCCGATTCTGACGGAGCTTTTGGTGTTGCTCAACGTCAGTTTACATAGCCGTATTAGTTTTGCGGGGATATATATATACGCATTAGCGGGCTTAATTTACATTTACTTGCGCATTTGACCCTTGTTAATGCAAGTTTGCACTGCAACACTGCTCAATAATGGTCGATTTTTCCTATTTTTTGACAGAGGTCGCTTGAAGTCTGCTGCCTCCCTTGCGATTACAGAATCAGAGGTAAGCAGTTTTATATTGCTAATTAAATTATATGCAAGTATATTAAAAAAACCAATTTTAATATTTTTAGAAAAAGGCAGAAAATAAACAACGCACAATTTGCTATCCAATATTCTTAACTTTTCCGTACACTTTTCMGATTTACAATCAATTATTGCTTTTAGTTTCACTCTATTAACTTTTAATGTAGTTAATAATAAACTTTTTGCGTTAAATTTATATTGATTTTCCAAAAATTCCAAGAATTTTTATTAATAATTTATTCTATTCATTTTTGATTCACCTTTTTTAAATAAGTATACAGATTTCACTATCAGCTGTCGAAATGAACAAGTATGCCGTCTGTCGCCATCAAATTTCAATGCGCATTAGTGTTGCTTAAGGCGCATTAATTTTGCTTGTCAGGGCTATTAAAAACCTTAAGCTAAGTGTCAGAATCTCGTAGTCGCTGGCGTGAAGCAGTCATTAAAAATAAAGGCTACATCACAAAATATTAACAATAAAAACGTTTGTATAAAATAAAATTTATGGAAATGCAATACGCACTAATTGTCCACCCTCTTTTAGGTTGTGCCATTTATATGTCTAGCTCATTATACTGAAGTTTTCGCATTTTGATGTTTATTTTTTTATCAATAAATTACAACTTTATTTTGTACTGTTATTGAAAACAAAGTATGAACCTTTAAAAAAACCCAAACACTCATTTATAATACCGTAACACAAGAAAGAAGATATAAAAAATGTGTAATTTATGTGTCCATAGCTGTATATAGTAGTTAATTAATTAAATGACAAGTGCGGTTGGTCCAAACTATTGGGTTTATATAAAAAAAACTAGTATGTTTAAAGCGGCCTGCTCTTTTTTCAGATGTTAATTATTTTTTTAGAGTAAATATATTTGTATTTACACATTGTTAGCACTAATATACTCAATTATAATGAATGGTATATAAATATGTGAAAAAAATAAAATTAATAATTGTACAATTAAAAAGTTTTCTTTGAAATTGTAAGAATATTTAGGAGTAGGAATCAAACAAGGCAACCCTGCATYAGCCGACGATTAGGGTAATTAGAGCAGTTCAGCTATATTTTTACATACATATAAAATTTATAAGATACTGCTGAATGAGCGCAGCAGAAATATATGTATACATACGTATGAGGGGAAAAGTGGTTAGAATCTGCAGAAGTTTATGGCGAGATCACCACTTTTTCACTAGTTTTGAGGATTTTACAACCTAGTGTTTCAATAGTTTTTTCCACGGTAGAGGAGGAGTAGAGTCACTATCAACTGATGTTATGTAAACAAAGCCACAGCTGAGAGGTGCCACTGTAGAAACGTCAAGGGGAGTCCGGGGTTGAGTTTCTATTGGAGTCCAAGATGGCCGACTTTTAACCGGAAAATGGTTGCATTGTGTTATTTTCTAAAAAATAATGGAGAAGTTGTCCCAAAAACATTGGTTATATATAAAACTTTACTATATTTTCAAAAGAAAATACTTTTATTTTAATATATATTTTTAAAGATGAGAACAATATTAGCAAATACATGAAAAATAAAGTTTTTTATATATGCCTGTTTTTAACTGTGGTAAGTTCACCACAGAAAAATATTATGAACAAATAAGCAACCATGTCGAATGGTGGGGTCCAGAATATGCTCATTGACAGCCATATTTATATTTTTGTCATCATAACGCAGGTTTTTGCAAAACAATTTGTTTTAATTTATTTCATGGGACAATCCTTTACTATGGTTTATTTAGTTATTTGAATCTGGAAGAAGTGTTTGTCAATTTTCATTGGGAAGATAAATAACAGATCGACTGGGATTATATTCCAATAAATGTACGAAATAACTAAACATGGCTTCGCCAATATTGCTGCGTAATGAGTCAGGTGCTTTTCCAATTTTATGATTTAAGAGATGAAAAAGCGATACGCGATGCTCTGAAGTACTCAAATGTAGTTATCAACTTAGTGGGTACTGAATTCGAGACAAAATTTTAAATTCAATGACGTGCTCGTGGAAGGTGCACGACGCATTGCTAGGTAAGCTAAAATTTAACTTTATTTCAAAAGATTTACCATGTATTTTTTAATTTTTTTTTTATAGAATCAGCAAAGAAGCTGGTGTACAACRTTTGATTATTTGTCTGCATTAAAAGCTAGTCCCAAACCAATGAGCTTTGTGCTTGAGGGTTTTGAAGAGCAAATACTACAATGAATGTGATGTTCGGATGTAGCACAAGCTATTGTCAATTGCGCTAAGGATCCCGATCAAGCTGTTGGGTAGGTTTTGAGCAAAATTGAACTTTCATACTTTCTAATATGCTAAACAYKCAACATCCACCTTGCAGGCCAAAGCGTTACCAGTTGAGAGAATTAATTGACTGGTTCCATCGTATTATGCGCAAAGATGAAAAATGGTGGGGTACCGTTTTTAAGACATGCGTTGCGATCCTACCACCTTCCTATTGAAAGTCAAGATCACTGAGCTTATCTGTCTTGGACAACCTATTGGTGAGCTACATATTGGTGAGGAACGTATCGATCGCGAATTTATTACTGATGTCACTTGGGTGTACAATTGACCTCCATGGAAGAGCAAGTACCATGGGAATTGCSACCATATCGTGCTGCGCAATATCATGATGCCGAATTGGGAGAGTGGCGGACTCAGCTCCACCAAAACCGATAAAACATCGGGAAGAACTATGTATGTTTGCATAAAACTACTATAATGGCAACACCGCTAACAACAACAGTCAAGCAAACATTTGCATCGACGCGAATTACAATTCGTCTTTACATCTAGTGAATTATGGTCGATTAGGAACGATGTGGAAATTGATAATTAAACTTTAAAAAACAAAAAAATTAAATTTGGTTTATAATAAACCGCTATTAAAAATTAGGTAATTTGAGGTGTATTTTTTTTTTTTTTTTTTTTTTTTTTTTTTTTTTTTTTTTTTTTTTTTTTTTTTTTTTTTTTTTTTTTTTTTTTTTTTTTTTTTTTTTTTTTTTTGCCAAACCAGTTATTATCGATTAGGATAATTTCAAATGGAGTATCTTTGAACAATAATTTTTTATTTTTCAAATATTATGCCAGTATTGCTATTGAGCATGGCAAAACTGTGTTACGCAAGCTAATTTAAACTACTTKTTACTACTATATAGATATTGCAAAATCAAAAAATAATTCCTTTAAGAATCCTTTTTTTTTTAAAAACATTTGAACTAAAAACTAACATGGTAAATCTGTTAGGATGGTCAAATACTCCATTTGCGATCGAGTAGGATTCCTGATCGCCGGCGTATAGCTAAATTCTGACACATAAAAAGTATATTTAGTTTGTGATTACAAAAATTATACTTAAAATATAAGAAACATGGCTATTATAATTATCTTWCAATAAAAATTGGGTTTTACTGCTCAGACTAATTATTATGATATGTAATACCAAATTTTTCGACAATAGTTATCTCTTTTGGTGCACTCATTATCAAAAATAGTTTCCATATTGTTCGTGAATAAGTTAACTAAAACGCTTAAAAATATGTAGCATATTAATTTATATCAAGAAGATTTAATTATATCTTTTGATAACAGCATTRAATTCCATTCTATAAGCAAAATTTTAAATAGTATTTACAAATGTATAAATAGTAAGTAAGTTATATATAGTATGTCGAGTCGTTTTTTAAGTAGTCGATGTGACTATTCCATTTGTATCTATTATTAAATATAAGTCCGAGTATTTTTAGGTTGTTAACAGAGCTTATGTAGATGTTGTTGCAGAGGGTGTTAACCTGGCAGTTGTGCTTTCTACATATGTGGATGTGTTTGCATTTTTGTAGTGATAGTTGGGCCCCTGAGTATTTTGACCAGTTGGTAATGTCGTTATGTAGGTTGCTGAGATCTATCGGAGTGTTCTGTTAATTTTTTTTATAATAATGAAGTCGTCAGCGTATGCCAGGAAGTTTAATTCCTTGTGAAGGGAAATGATATTACTTAGCTTATTGTAAGCAATGATTAAGAGTATAACGGATAATGGTGGTCCCTGTGTGATACCATTCTGTAGGGGATATTGTTGAGAATAATGTAAATTTATTTTTATTTTGATAGTTCTGTTATTCAGATAATTCTTTATGTATCGGAAAATTTTTGGGCCGATATTCCAGAGTATAAGTTGGTCCAAAATGGAGTGTAGTCCCACTTTGTCGAAGGCTTTGGAGGAGTCTAGAGAGACGATTGATAGGTGTTTTTTGGCCGATAGGGATTGAGTGATCTAATAGTCTAGATATACTAGGAAATCAGACACTGGTTTTCTCATCCTGAACCCCATCTGATGACTATGTATGAGTTTGTCTGTGGCGACAAACCACCATAATTCATTGGCAATGATCTTGGCTAGTACTTTTGAGCAGCGTGGATTGAGATAAATAGGTCGGTTTAATTAAAGTTTTATCGAGATCTGGTTTTAGTATGAAGATTACCGTACTATTTTTGTATATCTSCGGTAAGTATCGATTGAATATATTGTTGAACAGATCAAACAGTCRGTGTTTTACGGTTTTTGGTAGATGTTGTAACATTTGGTAAGATATACGGTCAAGACCGGGTGTTTTGCCTTTGAGTCTATTTAGTGCAATGTCTAACTCCAAATAGCTGATATTTTCTTCGATAAAGGAAGCAGATCCAAATATATTCGCAATTTCCGCTTTTTCTGTAGTTGTATTTCCATTTAAGAGTTTTGTATCGATACAATGAATTGACGATCTGGGTTTTATTCCGCAAAAGGAGCGAATTTCCTGGTTGTGTGTGCGGATTAATATTTGAGGTGAATTGACTAATAGACTTTGCTTTTGCTATCTTTATGTTTCGCCTGAATATTGCTTGTGCCTTCTTATATTGAATTATATTGTCGTTCGAGATGTTTCTTTTTAATTTATTCCAATGGTGATTTTTTAATATTTTTAGTTCTTGTAGTGTGTTGTTCCACCATGGGACTGTATATTTTCTTTTGCTTGATGTTTGGGATATTGATTMATTGGCGGCTTGAAGTAAGATCCTGTGGATATTTGCAGTTTCTTTGTTGATATTTGTGCTAACCGGTCTATTGTTGCTAAAATGGCTTGCTAGGAGATGAAACTGGGTCCAGTTTGCTTTATTTAGATTGAATTTGG